CTTCAGATTTATAAATTTCATAATGAAAAACTTAGTTAATGAATATGTAGCAAATCTAGCTATTTAATAGGCTATCGTAGTATGTTATATATTGTTGGGAAAATCATAATTTTTTTTATTCATCCCGAAATAAAGTTTTTGAAATTATAGCTTTCAGTCACCGAACGAAATTATGTAACTTTTAATATATATAAAAAAAATTATGTTTTTTCAAGTTTTATAAATTTTTAATTATTTCCATATTTTTATGCTTTTTATTTTAAAATTCTTTTTTTTTTGTGTTTGTTTCTTGTTTTCTTATATATATATATAAATAACTTCCTAAGTAAAAATGTAAAAACTGAACTTGGTTAATAACTTTTGATATCAAACATAATGATATTCATGATTATAGCTCCTTCTTTGCATGTGATACTATAAATCTTCTGAATTTTAAAATTAACTGGAAAAACATACATAAAAACCTTATGATAAATAAAGATTTGGTTTTAATGTGTTTTAAGAAATATTTGAAAAAATCTTACCTCATACAACCTATTAAACCAGCAGGCATAAATTTACCAGAATAGTAAAATCGATAAGTCATAATAACTCCCAAAGTAAATGTGGCAACTAAAATAATTCAATAGTTATAACCCATTTTGTCCAACATAAATTTTCTGCAATATTTTATAAATATTACATTCATATTCATTCTTTGTAATAAATTTTAACTAACACATAAAATACACATTATTCATAGTTTTAAAACATATGAATCGCAAAATGGAACATACTTTACAATGAAAATAAATCGCTATATATTTTGAAACTGTTCACTTTTCTCTAATACATATACCTACATTTTTGGAGCATGCAATTCTTAACTTTTTCAAATCAATTACGAAGAACTTCTTAGCTAAATAACATCACTAAAAATAAGATCAAAAGATGTACTAAACTTAGTACATCTTAAACAATTATTCTAAAGTTATCATTCAACATTTTCTTTAATTTAAAAATCCCTGACATTCTTATTCCTTTCTCTATTCTAGGAACTCAGAAATTAAGGAAATATCACTGAAAAACCATATTTCAACTCTCACTTAACAATATTTTAGTCATTGTTTATTTTTCTGAATAACTTACATAAGAAATGAAAAGAATTAAACTTTAAGAACTAGAACTTTCAAAAGGTAAAGGAATGATCCTTACAACAACATTTTTCAGTTATTAAGATCTTTTTATTTAAAAAATTAGGTTTAATTTATAACATAAATGCATTTACAGAAGTTATTTTTTATTGAATTTTTTAATTTATTGAAATATTTTATTCAACTTACAAATAATCTGCATTGGAAAACTCAAAAAAATGCAATCCACATTGAATGCAAAAGTTGCATTGTTTCCATTCCATTATAATGTAAACCTTGATTTTCTTTTTTGAGCTATCCAATATTGTATAAGATTCTTGAACGGTTAAAATAAAAGAAAATGATTATGTGTTAAGTGTTAATCAAGCTCTAAAGAAATAAAGATGATTAATACAATTGCATTTACCTTCTTACTTAATTAATGACAAAGTGTAACAAAGAAAAAATACTTTCAGGCTTAAATTGAAGAATTTTATATTTATCAAATCCTTAGCTGCATGCTGCATGTATTTTTCATTTTAAAGTGAGAAGAACAACTAGGTTAACAGCTGAATTTTGATTCAATAAAATTTTGCAAGTAATTAGATTTTACAATAAATGTATAAAATTAAATACATATTCATGTTTTTAAATACTACTTACTAATTGATACAAGAAAATTCTTTCCATCTAAGGAAGTTTGATATGCACCATAACCTAAAACACTACCAAAACCTAATCCAGCAAGGAGAGAACTTGTGCTACCTATGTAAATAATCAGAGAGTGTAATAAGAATCGTAAATTAATTTAATAATAATTAAATAATAATAATTTTTACATTTAAGTTAAGCAAAACTTTGGGGTGTACAGAAATGTTAATTTCCGTTTAGATTACACTGTTTTATTGATAAATACCAACACATTTAATTAAAATCTTTGAAAGAAAATTAATTAATGAAATATATTGTGACACAAGCTATTATTTTTAACATAAGTCTGAGCAGATGAGCAAAAAGTAAAAAAAGAATAGTAATAAGAAATGCTAACAATATTCTATCATATCAAGTCTAAATAATTATAATAGTCACATAATTATTAAATATGTGTTAAAAATTAACTATAACACATGCAAAAAAAAACTATACAGTATAATATATATATAAGTTAAATTCATATAAACTAACTTAATGCTGTTGTTAACAGAAGACCAGTTGTAATAAAAAGTAAATTAGACAGAGACTAAAGAGTACCTCTTAATTATAAAGACATTATATCAAAAATAATTTATGCAAAACACAGATTACCAGCTTTGATGTATCCTAATATACCACCTCCGGCAACGGCTAGGGCATAACAAACAGTTACAACATCTAATCCCATCTTTCTTCCTTTCTATAAATTAAATACTACAAATATAACTTAAACTGAATTAAAGATTTAAAAATAAACAGAAAGTGGTGACATTTACTTAAAAAAAATTACACATCAAAACTGATATTATAAAGCAGATAATTACTTTCTTGGATTTATTTTTATCAAATAATTATCAACTTCGCAGTAACTTCCATAAGATTACGTTTTTGTGTTAATATATAACTTCCTTTTATCCAACTTACAGCTTACTTTGAGAAATATTTTCGCATTCCATATTTTTATTATAATTATCAAATTTATTGAATTTGAAATAATTTTTCTCATTCAATATGTGATTTTTTTTCAAGTTTCAAATCTAATCAAAAAATTTTAAAACAGTTAAAAATCGTGCGGCAAATTTTTCTCTCAAAAAGTGGCAGTTTTCAAAAATCAACACAACAACAACAGCAGGGGCCGCATTTAGAATTCAATTGATTTTTTTTTTTTATTAAAATAAAAAAGTATATATCGATAGCAATAAAATAATGATTTACTCTTGACTGTTTTTATTTTATTAGGAATTTCATATTATAAAGCAAATGTGCCAAAAGTAACTTTAAATTGAACTTAGTAAGTCTAATTTAAATCCAACTATGAGTTCCTCGTACAAAATACTAGTTCTTTAATTAATGAAAGTTTTAAATACTTATTTTAGGTAATATGCCACATTCTGCTTTTTAAGTATGGCGAATCATTACGACATACCCTCTTGGTAAGAGATTTATTATTCATTATAAACTTAACCTTTACTACCTATCTATTTTACAAAATAGATTTTTAAAGTGATAATTGTTTAGATTTTAATATTTTGTTGCAAACTGAGTTGAACATCCATTATTTTCAAGTGCAAACCAGCATTAAATAGTTTATTTTTAGTTATTAATAGCATGTTCTGGTGCCTAGTATTTATTCACTTTTCAAATATTTCATAGCTTTCTCTTTCTGTATTTGCTATTATAGTGAAACCTCCAGGAAATACCACCTCTAAGTAGCGACCTCCTCTATTTATAACCACTTTTGGGGGTCACAGAATTTTTTTTCTATAAACTTTGTGTTGAAGGCAACATTTAGGAGAGACCATCGAAACCTCTCTTAGCAATTGGGCAAACCTCTCCACTAAATGACGAAAAGGTCAATTTAGGAAACACAAAAAAATCTGAAAAGAAAAATAGTAACAAAACAAATAAATAGATTAATATATATTCAAAATGTTTGTGAGTGACTCTTATTTAATCATCTCTGTGGCAGAATAATCGGCAAGTCTTGAAAACTTCCGGGCAGTGGCCCGTGAGAAACTAAAAAAAAACATCACAGAAAGGGACCAACTCGAAAGGTATAACTCGTAGCCACCCCTGGGCAAACAACTACATGTTTTTTGTTTTTTTTTAAATTTGCAAGTTTAAAATCTATTTAGCATCTTGGCGATTGTAGTTGGCACAACAGATCACGATATGGAAATATCCCCCTACAACTTTATGCTGTTGTCAGAGTGCACTAAGGACGATGCTGACAATGATTTATTTCTTAGAGTTGAAAGTTAAATTCGAAAACAAAAAGTTTTTCTAGAAAAAAAATAAGCATCTCAAACCAACAAACCTCTTCTCATCTATTAAAGATAACTAATTTTTATGATATAAAAATGAATGCAAACTTAAGCAAAAAATACAATTGTTTATTTGTTTTTACACATAATTATATCTATAGGGATCATTTTTATTGACGCAAAATTTTATTCATATACAGTAAGGAACCGATTATCCGGGACCATCGCTATTCCGGATAACTGATTTTTCCGGCTTTCTGAATTGCTACAAAAAGCCTTTTTTTTTTTTTATTGTTAAACCCAACTGAAAAAAAAAATATTGGGAAATAATCTTAAAAAGAAGAAAAAACGATGAAGTAATACACTAATGATTATTTCCAAAATGATGGTAAGGTAAACATCTTTCAAAAAAGAAAGAAAAATCCTAAAATCTTATAAGGAAAAAAAAAATTGCGGGATAATTTATTGATTTTCGTTCCGGTTTTTTGGTTTTCCGGTTTTCTGATTTCCGGATAACGGGTCCTGTACTGTATCTGGTTTTAATCACAACAACACAAGTGACTTTTCTGCACTGAAGTTAAAATCTAAAATCGCTTGCGAAAAATCATGTCCCTTCGCTAATAATTTGAAATCAGTGGAGGTAACTTTAGAACGACCAACCTCCATTAACGACCATTTTATAGTGGAACAGAGAGTGGTTGCTACCGAGAGGTTTCACTGAAAAACTGATTATTTAAAATTGTTTATTTAATACTAATCTTGAAAAGAAGGTACATTTAGAGTATGTTTTTATTTTGCATTTTTCATTAGTGTATAGAAAAAAATTAAGTTTTATCTCTGATTCAAAAGACCCGCAACCAAGTTAATAATTTAAAATGTTAAGTCTTAATATTTTACTTTTTTCTTGTTGATAGTTAGATAATTTTGTTTAGTTTTGATTAAATACTTAAAACAAATTTAAATTTATTTGTACAATAGCTTTAATACTGAGCATGTTTATTAGGAACTTATATAAAAGTGTCAGTATCTAATATTTTGATCTAGGTTTATAAATATTTATGAGTGTAAAGATAGGAAACTATAAAGTCTGCTAACTTATTTATAAGTCATGAAATAAAGAATATGGGTGTTGTCTGTTATTGAACTTTAAAAACAATGTTACTTTTCAATATAACATTTGATATTTGCATAGGTAACCAGGGTTCATTGATTTAAATCAGCTTGATTTAAACCNAAAAACAATGTTACTTTTCAATATAACATTTGATATTTGCGTAGGTAACGCCTTTATATTTTCTGATAACACCTTTATATTTTTAGATCAAGGTATGTCAATTAATGGTGTAACAATCATATCTCATTGAGTGAAAAATTCAACAAATTATATATTATAATAATTTTCTTTTTTTTTTCATTTAATTTCAACAACAATTTTGTTAAATTTTCGAAGCAAAATTTTCTTTTATTAATTTAATAATATTTATATTAAGCATAACTTTTTGTAATCCGCATGCTAGTTACTAATTGGATTTTAAAAATATAGTTCTATTATTAAAACATTATGTTATAAATTGCTTTGGTAATGGAAAGTTAACCTGTAAATTGCTAAATTTTACTATACTTATATTTTCTGATTATAAAGAATTCTGTTCAAGCTTCTCAAATTATTTTGTATCTACTGTTATTTAGTATTAGTTTCCTACAGAAAAAATTTGAGGAAAAGATTATATCAAAGATACTGTTGTGTTCTTTATTTAAACGGTATTTTATGGACAAAATATGTAATTCTTGAAAAAAAGATTATGAAGTTTAAATTTTCATTCACCTCTCCTTTCTTTTTCATACTGGCTATTAATTAATTAATTAACAAAGACAAAAATTATTTTTAAGAGAGAAGCAGTGTTCAAAAATTATGTGAATAACTTTAATTATTCCTTTAAGGAGAATGAGCATTAAACTCAACCTATTAATAATATCAGAGATCTAAGATGAGATCAGAACTGCTTAATCTTTAATTATGACTGCATTTAAGATGTGATGAAAATATTTTTATTTTAGGGCTGGAAAACCACCAGTTGGTCTTCATCTTGATGTTTTAAAAATTGATAAGCTGATTCAGGTAAATGTTTGTTTATTACTTGAGCCTGTATTTGTTCTTTGATTTATACTGGTTCAAAAGACATTTTCTTAGGTTTGTAGAAAATTAACTGAAACCTGTGTACTTAATTGTTTTTAAGAAAAATTATTATTGTTGGTTCTTTGTGCAAATATGATAAAAATAAGAAATATTTGTTTGTTTTAATTTTAGAAATTGATGATTGATGAGAAAAAGTGCTATTTGTTTGGTCGCAATCCTGAGCTAAATGATTTTTGTATTGATCATGCCTCTTGTTCAAGGGTACATGCAGCTCTAGTTTACCATAAGCATCTGAACCGTACCTTTTTAGTAGATCTTGGAAGTAGTAAGTTTGACTCTTTAGTAAGTGTTATTGCCTTCTTTTTTTTCTATTCAGAGATAAGCATGCCAAAGCTGTCCTTCTGTACTTGTTAAAAGAACTAGCTTTGGCATCTGTACTACTAATTTACAATTTGGAGACGAAAGTGCCTTATATCCTCAAAATTAATTTATTTATCCGAGAAAGAATTTTTTTCTTATTTTTGGTATATGCTTTTTTTTTTTTTTTCGAATCTAATGAAATTTATTTAAAAAATTATTAGGGTGACCCGGGGTAATTCACGATCACTCTGTTTCTGAGGTAAATAATGATCACCTAAGTTTTATTTTAAAAAAAACTTTTTTTTTTTAAATTAGAGACAATTTTTTTTTTAAAATACTACTACATTAAACTATGAAAAATACCAAAAAAAATAATAATAAATAAAAAAAAAGATTAAATTGGGGTGGTTATTTACAAATCATGTAAATAATTCAAAAATTCTCCTCAATAGTAAGATCAGAAACTAAAATCTACAAAATTTCAGTGATAAAATAAAAAATACTTTCTTTTTAATTTCGAAGAAGTAGCTGCGTGACATCAAAGTTCTACAAATTCCAGGGACCACAAAGACTAAAAAATTATTAATACTTCATAAGCATGTAACTCAATACGGATGAAAACTTAACATAAAGCAAAGAACTATTTTATAAAACTGCTTGTAATTTTAGGTGTTATGATTGTCCTAACGTTTCAAATTTAAAGTGGTTTAAGGTACTAATATAAGGTGAAACAGATGTTTCTTTAATGTTTCTTCATCCATGTATGTTCTTTAGACTTTTAAGTAAATAAAGTCNATACTAAGCTTCCAGAAAGCAAAATTAGTGAATTTCTTTTAATGATTGAAAATGAAAATTTCAGTGTGAGAGGTGCTGCCAGTGCTGTTGACATACCTTACTTAACTTTACACTTTCCCTTCATGAAGTTAAAAAATCCAGCAAAAGTAGCTCATGTGGGAACTCTCTTATATTTCAGTCGAATGAGTTAGCTGATTGCCTAAAATGTATGGCACGATGCAAAGATTTTTGAAAATTTAAAGTGTTAATCTTTCTTCTTGCTTCTAAATAAATCATTTTATTAGCTGCTTAAATATATCTTTTTGGTTTATTTGTTTGATCTTTATGTCTTATTTGTTAATTACCATTATATAAGTATTTTTAAACAGCCCCTTTACAATAAAAACTGGTGATCAGTAAATTACCCCAGAAGTGATCAGGAATTACCCCAGAAATGATCAAGACCTGGGGTAATTCCTGATCACTAAAAATTTAAAATCTTCTAAATTCTAATTAGATTTTCAAACAAAAGAAGGTGGCATAGGACTCATCTCATATAGCGCCAAACTTCCAGTAAATATTAAAATTCTATTTTGAATAGTTTTTTCACAAAATAGATATTTGCATTTCTTGATCAGGAATTACCCCAGGTCACCCTACTAGATAAAACAATGTTGAGGGACCTGCGACTAATAATCGAAGGCTAAATTAATTTTGCTATCCATTAATTTCTTATTGAAAGTAGCATTATTTATCAAATATTCATCACACTGTGTGTCTTATAGTTGACCGGTTCCCAGTAGATCACCGAAGTCAAGCATCACTGACTATGATCAGTGAGTGTGTAGGCGATTGCTTTGATCAGTATGGGAATTGGATTGCCCAAAGGTTCTTTGTATTGGTCCTTATTAAACTGACTACCATAAAGTGCTCAACTTCACATGCAAACTATCTGACTGCCAAAATGGGGGAGCCATCCCCTCTGCAGAAGATCAAAATTGTCATGGCATGTCCCCCAAATTGTTGTCAATCTCCCATTTTGCAGTTCTAGTGTAAAGTAATCAAAGTACTACTACATTAAACTATGAAAAATACCAAAAAAAAATAATAATAAATAAAAAAAAAGATTAAATTGGGGTGGTTATTTACAAATCATGTAAATAATTCAAAAATTCTCCTCAATAGTAAGATCAGAAACTAAAATCTACAAAATTTCAGTGATAAAATAAAAAATACTTTCTTTTTAATTTCGAAGAAGTAGCTGCGTGACATCAAAGTTCTACAAATTCCAGGGACCACAAAGACTAAAAAATTATTAATACTTCATAAGCATGTAACTCAATACGGATGAAAACTTAACATAAAGCAAAGAACTATTTTATAAAACTGCTTGTAATTTTAGGTGTTATGATTGTCCTAACGTTTCAAATTTAAAGTGGTTTAAGGTACTAATATAAGGTGAAACAGATGTTTCTTTAATGTTTCTTCATCCATGTATGTTCTTTAGACTTTTAAGTAAATAAAGTCCCCAGATCAGTATGGGTTTAATACAAAAATTACATATATTTAGATTAATGCAAAAATTTACAAATATAATTAAAAGCATTGCAAAATAAGAATATTTTATTCCTATTTAAATCTAAATTCTCTAATATAGATACATCTTTTTGAAATTTTAAACAAAACAAAAAAATCTGCTTTAATAAATTAAGTCAATAAATTAAGAATTAAATTAAATTAAGTCAATAAATGACAATTTTGTTTATTTTTATTATAAAATTTGCTTCTTGATTTACATTTTAGGAATATTACACCCCTTGCAAAATAAGGTTAAAACTCAAGGAAACCTCATTTTACAGTTTAAAGTTTTGTTACTTTGTGAAATTAAAATTCATATAGTTTAGTCTTAGAAAGAATAATTATTGGAATATGTACCTTCATTAGTTTAGACAAAAATTGCCTTTTGGAAACTCTGAGATTTAAATTAGTGCACCAAATTTATAAACTGATTGCATTTCCAGTTTGTATGTAAATAAAATTGTGTGTAAATTAGGGTACAATTTTATGATGAATTTTATTTTGTTCTTCAAGTGAGATATTTGTATAGAATCTATTGCTCTATCATCTGTTGCATTGTTACCAAGATTTTTACGTTTTGCTGTAACATTTTAATTTTACTCATTTTTAACATTTTACTCATTTTGTGCTAAAGGGAAAAAACATTTTACATGAATTACTGAAATGAATGGCTGTTATCTCCATATTTAATATTATATTCATATTATTATATATTCATACCTGCCAAGTCTCCTGTCTTTTAACAAAGGCTCCTGTAGTTTATGATTATCTCCTGTAAATCTGTATATTCTTGAATTTTTCCGTATTTGTTGAAGAAATTTTTTTTTTTTAAATTTTGCCAATAAAATATCCGATGAGGGCAAAAATACTTCTTATTCATCAACAGATGGTGCTATTGCCAGCGCTGCAGTATGTTGAGTGTTTATACTAGTACTAGTTTAAGTAATTAAAAATAATTGTTTAAGAAATCCTCTTTAGATTAGGATTTATATGCATATTTTTTACTTTACTAAATGTAAGTGCTTATATTATTTCCAATTTTGAATTTCTCTTTTTGACTTACATGATTATGCTCTGTTATTTTATTTCTCCAATGTTGGCAAGTATGTATATTTCTCATATTAATATTTTTAAATGTTATTTATTTTGGAAGTTGAACAGTTTTAATGCTTTATGCATTTTGGAACATATAAATTGAAACTAGCAAATTTTCAAAGATTAACTAATGTAGCTCTATCCTTAAAATCAGTCACTTTTTATACTAATTTCGTGTGAAAATTAGAAAAAGTTATCTTCAAATCAGGAGATGAGTGACTTCGATGCTAACAGGGGTCTGTCTAGCTTTTTCTGAAAGGTACCTATTTTGTGAAAAGTTTGACATAATTTGTGAAAAATTAAAAATTATATTAAAAAGTCAACACAAAAACATGGTAAAAATATAGATTTATCGTTTCTTAAGGGATACAAAAATAAAATTTTAAGAAAGAGTATTTTGTGAAACTACCATTTTTCCTAAAGTTGAACTTGCAAAACTACTGTTTTACCTAAAATTGAATTTGTGAAGGTACCGCTAAACATTAGTGAATTCGGCCTGGACAGACCCCTGGCTAATTAGCTTAAAAATCACAAAAGTTCAAATTGCTTAAAGTTTTTAAAATTAGACTTGTTGTTAGTCTTATATTTAAAAAATATATTTACTAGTTATATATTTTAAAATAAACAACTTTTGAATAAAAACATAGAGACATGCCTTTTAAAGATATAGATTTTTAATCCTATTTAATACCTATAATGTGGATAAAACAATAACCAAAATTTCAATATCTGTATATTCATATATGTCCATGGACAATATTATAATTTACTATAAGGCATAAGAACAGAAAATATCATTTTTTATTTTTATGCTGTTGTAGCATGTATATTAATTTAACTATAAAGTAGAATATGAGGTAACTTATATTATAATAACAATTCAAATGGAACTGCTGATGACATCTAACCTTAGATAAAACTGCCATGTTAATTAAATATGCCACGNTCTAAATGTAAGTGCTTATATTATTTCTAATTTTGAATTTCGCTTTTTGACTTACATGATTATGCTCTGTTATTTTATTTCTCCAATGTTGGCAAGTATGTATATTTCTCATATTAATATTTTTAAATGTTATTTATTTTGGAAGTTGAACAGTTTTAATGCTTTATGCATTTTAGAACATATAAATTGAAATTAGCAAATTTTCAATGATTAACTAATGTTGCTCTGTCCTTAAAATCAGTCACTTTTCATACTATGTAATTTCTTGTGAAAATTAGAAAAAGTTAGCTTCAAATCAGGAGATGAGTGACTTCAATGCTAACAGGGGTCTGTCTAGGCTTTTCTAAAAGGTACCTATTTTGTGAAAATTTTGACATAATTTGTGAAAAATTAAAAATTATATTAAAAAGTCAACACAAAAACATGGTAAAAATATAGATTTATCATTTCTTAAGGGATACAAAAATAAATTTTAAAAAAAGTATTTTATGAAATTTCCTAAAGTTGAATTTGTGAAACTACCATTTTATCTAAAGTTGAATTTGTGAAGGTACCGCTAAACGGTAGTAAATTCAGTCTGGGCAGACCCCTGGCTAATTAGATTAAAAATCACAAAAGTTCAATTTGCTTAAAGTTTTTAAAATAAGACTTGTTGTTAGTCTTATATTTTAAAATATATTTAGTTATATATTTTAAAATAAACAACTTTTGAATAAAAACATAGAAACATGCCTTTTAAAGTTATAAATTTTTAATCCTATTTGATACCTATAATGTGGATAAAGCAATAACTAAAATTTCAATATCTGTATATCTATATATGTCCATGGACAATATTATAATTTACTATAAGGCATAGGAACAGAACATATCATTTTTTATTGTTTTGCTGTTGTAGCATGTATATTAATTTAACTATAAAGTAGAATATGAGATAACTTATATTATAATAACAATTCAAATGGGACTGCTGATGACATCTAACCTTAGATAAAACTGCCATGTTAATTAAATATGCCATGTTGTGAACTTCAGATATATAAGTTTTGTATTTGTATATCTTGAAATTGCATTGCTTGTGTGATTTTTGTTAATAATTATCTACTTTAATTATGTTACTAATATTCTCCTATGCAATAAGGTGAAACTTTTGTACTTTTTTTTTTTTTTTTTTTTTTTNTTTTTTTTTTTTTTTTTTTTTTTTTTTTTTTTTTTTTTTTAAGGAACAAAATAATAGCTTTGCTCTCATAGCCTTAATACTGTTTATAAGAAGTTTTCAATCTTATCCTTAATCGGTTTTTAAGTGTTAACAAATTCTACATTATTGATCCCCAACAAAATTGAACTAACAACACATTTTTTATTAAATTTTATACTGTAATACTGCACAGATCTTTTTATATATAGATATATTCTCATCCTCAATTCTCTCGCAAAGTGATAATGAGAATTTGATCCTTGATGTAAACTTTTTTTTTCCATTGATTTCTCTCTAAATTAGGCATTCTTTAAAAATTATTTATTGAAAAAAAGTTTTATCCGATCATTTATTTCATCATTAATATATATTTATAGCTCATGGTACTTATATTGGAAGCATTAGACTGGAAGCTAATAAACCGACACAACTTCCTGTCGATAGTAAATTTCACTTTGGGGCTTCAACAAGAATCTACATTTTAAGGGAGAGACCTCAAAAAGCTGGTCGTTCTACATCGGAGGATTTAGAGAAAAAGTCAGAAGAATTAGAAGGTGGTCTTTTAGGCTTACCAGAGACAGAAACTGAGCTTGATGTAAGTTTCTTTTTTCTTATTTATTGAATTTTACATCATTGCTACAATATTAATTTATGGTTTTTATGATCAAGACTAAAATTCCTCCTTTCAAGTGCTGTCCAATATTTAAAGCCCTTACACAAATGGTTCTGGAATTATACAAGAGACATACATGCACAAATTCTTCCTTTTATTTTACAACATTGCTACAATATTAATTTACGGTTTTTATGATCAAGACTAAAATACCTCCTTTCAAGTGCTGTCCAATATTTAAAGCCCTTACACAAATTGTTCTGGAATTATACAAGAGACATACATGCACAAATTCTTCCTTTTAATATTGTAGAAAATAATTTATTTTTTTTTTAAAAATTTATCCTAAAAAGCTTCATTTTAGATTGTACACTTAAACAAGTTTCTCTTTAGAAAAGTTGCTATTTACGCTGGCAAATAAGTTTCTAGGACAGAAGCTAATATTTCAAAAAATTGATAAAATAAGCAATATTCAAACTAAAGTTTAACATTTTAAACTAATATTTTTAGTGTACATGTTTTTTTGTTTTTACATTCATTAAAAATCACTGACTATTTATTTTTTAATATTTATTACATTCAATATGTAAGCAAAGAGGTCCTAAATATTTTAATCAGACCTTCTTATTTATAATCTAGTTCACTTTCAGCCAAATATTTTATGGGGCTACTTTTTAAACTTCTAACTCTTTACTGATTTTAAGTAAGTGAAAATTTCACTTTATGTTTCTCCATTCATACTTTATTTTGCAATTGGATGTTATCATGTATTTGATTATTTATCAATATGAAATACATCATTTCTATAATATAAAATACTTAAATTTTATATTTTTTCTCCTTCTAGAATCTTACAGAGTTCAATACTGCACATAATAGAAGAATAACCATGTTAGGCATTACAGATGAAGAAATGAAGCATCCCAATCGAAAGCGCAGCCGAAACACTGTCAGGTTTAGTTACGAAGAAGAAATTATTAACCCAGGTAATATCAACAGAATTTTTCCATATATATTTTTCCTAAATTATATTTATATTAGGTATTGTTATTCTAACTGATATTTTTATTACAGAGGATATCGACCCAACTGTGGGACGTTTTAGGAACTTAGTGCAGTCAGCTATCATCCCTAATAAAGTAAGTTTTATTTTAAGATTGGTTTTTTATAGACTATTTAATATTTATTAGATAATTTTCTTATAGAAGGGTTGTTAAATCATAACAGTGATGGTATATGATGTTGTTAAATTTTGAAATTCCAAAAAATCGCATTTATGTACAAATTAAAGAAAGAAAATAAAACTTTTCATATATTTTGCTTGATAAAATTTTAGTCCATGGAAGCAATTATTATAACATAATTAGATTGAATGGTTCATAAGTATGTCTGTAATATTTCCTTTTTTTTTTTTTTTTTTATGTTAATTGTTTTTCTATGCTATGAAACATGTGTAATGAAAGTTTTTTATAAAAGAAAACCAGGATTTTCTTTTCAGCTAAAATATTCAGGATTTATGTGATTAAATTTAAATTGAAATTAAGTAAATTGAAAGTCCTGAAGTAATAAAATTTGATTTATTTTCCAGATAATCTTTTAAAGAAAAGAAAAATAATTATCCAATGCTCAAAATGTTTATTAGCTTTTTTTGTAAAATCCTTTTCAGATTTCTTTAACATTTTAAAAATTCTTGAGCATATCAAAAATTTTAAATATATTATCTTTTTTATCAAGTTAAAATTTAATTTTTGACCATCTTTGTTTTTTCAAAAATTACAAAAAATTCTGACAAATAAAAAAAAATTTGGCAAATAATAATAATTTCAATTGGCTTGGTGAGACAATACCTCGAGAAGTTGCCACTTTGACAGCCTTTGTAAAAAAAATACATTTTATAATTATTTATTAATTACATAAAGTAATTAATCAACACTACAATAAAGTAATTAATCAACTGCTTGTTTCATGCTTGTTAGTAAAAGTACTTTTTTGTTAAAAAAAAAAGTATGTGCTGATCAAATGTGTACAGATGTGTTGTTAAAAATATTTGTTAGATTTATTGATTACAATTTTTGAGATAGCTACAATTTTTGACACGTTTGATGCGCAAATATTTTTATTTGGCAACTTGGCTATGAAAGCAACAGGAAATTTAAAATGTTGCAAACATTTTTTCATTATAAAATGATTGGCATTTTTCATTCTAAGAATTATAATTTCCAGTGATCAAAATGCTAAATATATGTTTCTTTCATTTGATAAATTGCTCTAAGGTAGTATCATATGTTAATGATAATATGATAGATACAAAATAGCAAAAAAACTTCAATAGACTTTATTAAATTAACTGTTAGGTTCTTGTTCGTGGGAACAAAAGTTGAAATCCTGCAGGTCGAAAAATCCCGTGTATTAAATAGTGACTAATGCATGTTAAATATGTTGGTGCCACTAAGTCCCATAACTAATCAATGCCTCTGTACGGATTTGGAGATTGATCATTCTCTGGTTCAGGTCAAAATTATGATCTGTGGATGGAATGTTATTGGGTCCTCCCTGTAAAATGAGCTGTGACCTGCGTGTAGCCGAAGTCGTATTCTTGGCCATAGATGAGGCCATGGGGGGGGGNGGGGGGGGGGGGAATGCACTTTCGGCCTTGTCCTAAGCCTGCTTGAAATTCGCTTAGATTTCAAGCAGGCTTGCTGGTATTGGCAATAGGCATAAGTAACAACAACAATAAAATAACTACAAAGTAACATAGAAGAGTAACACTGTAACATTCTACTTATCTTTTTGTTTTAATTGCACTTATTATTATATATTTAAATTTTAGTTTATTTTCTCTTATTTTCAGAGACAAAGAGAAGAATCTGCAAATTTGTTTGGCACAAGTCTAATATCTCATCCAGCCAAAAGAATGGCACAATCATTACATACTGCCGGAGAGCACCATCGTGCTGATTCACTTTACGGTCCAATCAGTCCTTTGTTTGCACCATCTCTTTCTGTTAAACTTGGATTGCACTTGCCAAATCCAGCACCTGACATTGACTTGGAACCATTAGAAGTGGCTCCCGACTATGCAATGACAGTAGCCAATCCAAACGTTGCCAATGAAACAAACTTATCTCAAGAACCTAAGAAGAAGAAATATGCTAAAGAAGCTTGGCCTGGGAAAAAACCAGTGCCTTCTCTACTGGTGTGAAATAATTTTTTGCAATAAATTTAAATAGCTGAGAAATGAGGGTATGGCTTACGTGAGTTTGCTTCTAAGTTCAAGACTAAGAAATCGTTGTTTACGAGGGACATTCTAGTAAAACATTGCTTTCTAAACTTTATGTATTAATTGTGATGAAATAATTTATGCATTATCTTTTTTTCTGTAGTACCTCTGCCAATGCAGTATTTTGTCAATTCTTAGAATGCGCCTGGCAAGAAAACCATCTTTGCTACTTAAAAGTTTTCTCCAAAAAATATTTGTTTTCTCTCTCTAACGGAAAGTTAATTGACGATGTAAAGTTATATTTGGAATTTTCTTATCTTGTGCAACTCTTTGTTGCAAGGTAACACCTCTACATTGCCATGGCTTTTTTCTGGTGAAAATTATCTGAAAAACAGCGATACTGCCTTTTTTTAATTTCCTTTCCCTTTTTTAATGTCCTTTTTCCTTAAACAATACTTCTCTCTTCTAAATGGATCTAAAATGCTCGTTTAATTGCAAATTGAATCTTATTTACACAGCTTTCATACTCTAAACATTATAACGGATTCAAAAGTAATAATAAATATTTAGCCTACATGGATGCTAGTCAACTAATTTAATGTGTTTGTAATTTAATTTGTTATATGTTCTAAAATATAAGAAAAAAATTAATATGGATTCAGAAGTCTATTTTCTAGAAAGAGGAACTACATGAAAAAAATAATGATTAAGTTATTTCACTATGATAAATACTGTTTAGCTGACTAAATCATTGTTATATTTGAGCATCCCTCATTGTCAAAAAATTCATCTGAAGAATTTCGTGTAAGAGTTCATTGTAGATTTTAAACAACATTTTATAAAATATATTCTAACAGCAAATAAAAATTCCTTTTCATAATAAAATAATCATCTTGTCCTTTTTTATTTTTTCAAACTGATGACACCTTCCTATAGCCAAGAACATAGCTTATGTTCATTCCTATATATATAAATGGTTTGTAGATACATAAAGCAGTAATAAAAGTCTCATGTTTTGGACACTATAAAATAAAACCATATTTCTTTCCCTTTTAAATTAATGTGATAATAAATGTATATATATATTAACCTGTAAGTGGTTTTTAAAATTTTACAGGGTTGCCACTCCACAGGGAAAACCTGGAAAATACAGGGAATTTAAAAATTCCCTAAAATGAAGGGAATTTTGATTTTTTCTTTACAAACTGGGAATTTAGTTTCTTATTTTTGTCTTTTAAAAAATGGTGACCACTCAAAGTGTAATCGATGGAATGTTTAACCATGATATTTCAGCTATACCAAACTATTTCATTTACTGTAGCATTATTTAAGTATGTTCAGCTGTGTTTCCAAATTAGTTTCAGCAATTAAAACTAATAAATATAGTTAGCCCAACAATAGCTCACACAAGAGCCCAGTAATTGTTGTTCTCTCTTAATATAATGTGCATAATATGGACAGGGAAAATACAGAGAATTTTTTTTCTCTAGATTTGAGTGCCAACCCTGTTTCAGATACATCAATTAGTTTTTTAAATTCAATATTTATTTTTAGCATCAAAGTTAGATTTGCTAGAATAGCAAATTATGGTAAAAAGCACATTGTGTTGATAGAATTGCAATTGATTTTACTCTATTTCTTTTATTTTGAAAAATTGGGCATTTGTGACTGGAACCAAAAAAGGCAAACTGAATCAACTGATGTAATGCTTATAAAATAAAATGAGGAAGCTATTGAAATTCTTACCTACCATCATTGCACCACTTCTCAAGGTATGTAAGATGTTGAATTCAAGGAATAAATTAATGAAGGTAAACTTTAATTATGCAAAAATAATGCTTTCTCTGTAAATAAAACTGATCTTACTTCACTTTTATTAACTATAATTTTTTTTTTATTATTTAGGTCAGTTTAAAAGGAGTTTATAGTATGCTTATTGATAGAAAATAAAAGGTAAGTGACACAAGTTAAAAGAAAATCAAGATTTTTTTAAATCGTACAAGCCTATGTGTACTAGAACACTTTTTGAAGTCTGTTGTTTCTGGATTATGAGTAACACTTTGTTAGGTGAAAGTACATATTAAGAGTGTACTGCATTTAGCCTGACTCATCTAAAGAAAATATCATTTCACATTTAAATGAGTGACCTGTAATATCAATTAGAATCTTAAATTGCATTTGATATTTAATCAAAAACTACAATATATTGCTCAATATTATCAAAGGATTAATCCTAATGTTAGATTTATTGTCTGATAGTATTGTTTTGGTCAGACATTTTCATATCACACACTTATTAAAATCTATATGGAAAATATCCAAATAAAACTTAAAAATCTAACGATTGAGAATCAGTGTATACAATATGGCTTTTTTCAAGGGAGTCATTTCATTACATCATTAATTAAGTTCTAAGTTTCTCTAACAGATATTATATTAATTTGGCTAAAATCAATGAAATGTTTTAACTTTTTGTTAAAGGTTTTTCTTTCTATATTAAAAAAGAAAAAAAATTGGGTGTTCAACTTTGCAATTTCTACATTCTGTGCAAAACGATTTTGAAACTGGAAATTATGAATGCGTGGAGAAAATACAAAGGAACTACAATGAAATTTTAAAAAATTATTCAACAATAAGTTCCACAATTATTAACTGTTAAACATGTAGGAAAAATTATGTTGGCTGCTCTACATCTGGCAGAAAGCACATTTTTTTTTTCCTAAATTATAACTTACTTGAAAGCTATTGCATTTAATTTTTTTTTCTTTCAGTAATGATTATTTATCTATTGTAGTAGGAAAATTTATCTCTCTCTTTCTCAAGATCTTTTATTTTGTAAGCTTGCTCAAGAGTTAATGTCAAAAATTATTTTTTAAAAAAATTCTCGTTGAGTCATGTCACTGATGTTCAAAAGTTAGGTATAATTGATACTAACATGAATATTTAAGAAAATATAACTCAAAATGGTAATATGTAATTTCAACACAGTTTTACCGTAAGAAAATGAAAAAGAATTATTTTAATTAATTTTATTATCCAAAGAAACAGTGTGAAAGAAAAATAGTGCAAACTGATTGTTTATACTTCAATGAAGGAAAAAAAAAGTAAAAAGTTTATTTGACATGAGGTTCCCTTTAGTAGCTATGCTGCATAATGTATAAGTTCATATAATGTGATTTATGAACTTAAAAACTCTCATTTCAGAATTATTCCAATTTACTCTAGTTGCATAATTAGTGCGCTTAAGTGAAGCGAGAAGTTAGTAATTATACTTTTGAATTTTTTAATATAAATTTAGTTAAAAACAGATAACAATATTTCTTTTTTTAATTTACAGAACAAAGTCTAAATTTTTAAATTTCATTGATTTCTTAACCTTAGCCAGCTGCTAGCTTTTTGGTTTCGGTTTTCTTTTGTTAGTCAGTTCAGAAAGCTTCTCATCTAATTTCTTTTGCAAGTAAGATTGTTTTATGGCATCCATTTTTTTCTGAGGTCGTCCACTACCTGGATAGATGACTCCATCTTTACGAATTTGGCTTCTGGCATGGGCCTTAGCAGCATCACCACACCCATGCACTTCTGGCAAGAAATGCTCAAAGCAAAACCTACCTTTGCAAAAATGGCACATTTGTGACAATGCTGCCACAGACTTCTTACATTTCTCATAAAAACAGGTTTTATCAGCTTTCATTGCTTGTTCAATAAGAGCATCAAAATCATCTTCGTTTGACTCTTTCAATTTCAAAACTTTTTGCTTTGGTTTTACTGCTTTCACTTTAGTAGCCTGTTTTTTTGGTTCAGCACCTTTGCTCTTAGTTACATCAGGAATCTTAGCTTCAATGCTTTTATTTTTCAGTCTATTCATTTCATCATCTGTAGTTAAAGGTTCTGAGCTTGTGGATTGAGTAGAACCGTGTTTTTTAATCTCTATACACCTGTTTTCACCTTCTCCAGTACTAATGTGTATTAGTCCAAGCATTTCAGAAATCTAGAATAATAGAGATTCATCAATAATAAACTTCTATATTAAATACAGAAAATAAACAGTATGATAAATATTCTATACAGATTTTAAAAATATTTTATATCTAATCTAGTATTGCTGATAAGTAATGATTTATATACAAACCGAAGTCAAAAATATCTATATTTTGAAATAGCATAGCTATATTTTGACATAGCTCTTCTTGCTTAATTTGTCGTACTGTTGTGCAAATGCTATGAAAGTTTGATCTTAATTCTCTTTTTGTAACCAGTATATCATGGCCTATCCTTTAGAAGTTAGTATCAAAATGGAACAATGAGTAAAAATTTAATTCCTTTGTTTGGAGAATGTCAGAGGTCATCAATTCATCATAGACTATCATCTCAGACATAGGTAATGTACAAAGTGGAAAATAATGGAACACCCTAAATAGTTTTTAATCTAATGATCGGAATTTCATTTATTAGGAATCAGTCCTAATGGTTCAAGAGGGTAACGTTAAATATGCTCAAATGATATTTTAAGTTATGAAATCAGACAAAAACGCCAATATTAAAAAATTTCGCATGTGAATATTATTCCAGAACAAAACGAGAATAGCATTTGTTTTGAAGAGATTGTGAATGGTTTTTGGATGTACTTAATGCAGTTTAAATAAATAAATATATTTTTTTTATTGCCTCTCTATTTACAATTACACCGAATCAATTTTTGAATTAATTAAATGATAATTTGGCTAGTTCTAACACAGATTGCCAAGCTATCCCACTTCTGACACACCACTTGTCAAAGGAATAGCTGAGCTATCTGGGTCAGAGCTAACCGAATTATTGATTAATTAATTGAAAATTTGATTTGGTGCAATTGGAAATAGAGAGACAATTTTAAAAATGTATTAATTTATTAAACCACATTAAGTACAGCCACAAACAAATTGCAATCTCTTCAAAACAAATGCCAGTTCCATTCTGTTCTAAAATAAAATTTACACATGATGTTTTTGGATTTTGCCACTGTGTGCTTTCCTCTTATCATTAACTTCTTTGCTAGATTGAATTCTTAAAGTCCTGACATCCCAATGCAAAGCTTTTTTAAAAGGCAAAATTTTCTCCGTTAAGAATGTGAAGCAAGCTCTTTTCTCATCTTTGCTAAACATTGATGATTACCTTTTTAAGTTCCTCTGGTTTGTAGAAATTTTGCAATGAAATGTCAACAGAAAAAAACTAATAGATGGCTCTTAACTATCTTGAAAATACTTTCGTGATAATGCATCTTGCCAGGGTAGTGAGTAACAATATAATTGCAATGCTGTAATGCCAACATCAACACAATCAGGATTGTAGTCTTCTCTGTTAAATACTTAAAGGACCATGATCCATCACCACTTCCACCGGTGATCTATGTAACCACTTATCAAATTTTTTTAGCGCAAATAACACTGTAAATGCTTTTTTTTCAATCGTTGTCCAGTTACTTTCCACTCCACTGAACTTTTAGCTGACAAAAGCGATGGGCTTAAAATTACAATCTCGAGTTCCTTTGGGTAAGACAGCAGGGATATCAGTATGAACTTGTAAAGGTTTACCCAGTTGGAGTGTACATAAAACCTTCTTTAAATTAGAAAATGCCATCTCTTGTTCTTTGTACTTTTTTCCTGCCTTTTGTGAGATTTATTTGTGGTGCTGTTAATTTGGAATGTAACTTCGACAGAAATTCATCAAACCCAAGCTTGATTAGACTTCTTACTTCGTTTCTGGCATTTTTAGTTGCTTGATAGCCTATAACTTATCCTTACCAAGACCTTGTTTACCATTTCCAATTTTATATCCCAGAAACTTTATTTCCTTTTCAGCAGAAGTACTTTTCTTCTTTCCACATTTCTAAAAATATTCCTATATCATCCATGTAACATAAGTCTTCCAACCTTCCATTTTTATTTGATAGTACCCTTTCTGCAAATCTAGACACATAAACGATTTTGCATTTTCAGCCGTAAAGAGCATCGCTTGTATGTCTTGCAAGGGAAAACTTGATACTGTAAATCACATTTAATCTTCTATAGTCTATGCACATGCGAATTGCAACATCCTTCTTAGCTACATATAGGATGGGTTAGATTATTTCCGCCTCTGACATTTCTGTTAGTTAACCATTTAAATATAAATCGTTGCCAAACAGGCAGGTTGCCTGGAAACTAAATAATTATGAGAATATCATTATTAGAAAAAGTATTTTTTAAAATTAAAAGTGTTTAATTTTCTAAAAATATTGCTGTTTAAAAAAAATTAGTGCTTATGTTTCTATAAAAATTTTGTTATTTGTCGTTCACATGTATAAACACGACTGCGGCCCCCCTTTGTTATTCAACCTGTTATGCAAGTGGCCCTTCACTCAAAGGTTGTGCACCCTACCAAATTGTTAGTTTTAAGTTCTTTTTGAGATTAGTTTTAAGATATTGCAGTTTCATTTAATCAAAACATTTTACATTGTTAGTAGTACTTAGTTTATGTGAGTAGTATTAGTAACAATACAAAAATATTTTTATGAGCACTATAAATCTACTATTAATTAGTGTAGTAATAGTAAATCACTACAAACCTCATGAACTATTCTTCTTTCAAAAGCAGTGAGAGAAGTTGGAAAGAGATATGAAGCTTTCTCTCCATCTTTAAACTCTTCAATAATCTGAGTAAATTTTTCCTCAACTAACCTGTAAAAAAAAAGGTCTATATAATATAAAAGTGAAACCACCACAAATTATCTAAATCATTAGAGTAATAAAATCATCTTAAAAATCTTAACTACAGTAAATTATGTAAATTGATTTTAAGTAAGTTTATTCAAATTATTTATTTTAATTAACAAAAACATTAAAAGTACATCATGCTTATATCATATAAAAAAAAATTAATTTAAAATCAAATAAATTTTGCGTTAAATTAAGGTTATCTCATCATTTATTTATATCTTTTCTGGAACTTATGTTTAAGCTTGTTCTTGTGTATTGAGATGAGTCATTATTTTTTGGGTAGAGGGTGGAAATATGTTCCAGCTGTAAGTTTTTTATTTCTCTTGATTTGATCTCTATTGCTTGATAAACCAAAGCCTTTTCTTGAATATTCCCTCTTGGACAACTATTTTTTTGCCTGGACAGCCAGTTTGTTACCTAAGTTTGATTTCACAGAATTGACCTATTGTTTTTGCTTTTCTCTTTTCCATCCATTTAAGAGCTTTAAAATAATTATCTATGAAACCTAATTTGAATTCAGGTTTGAGATTTATGTATTCATCTTTAAATTATAATAATAACCTAAAAGCTATTATAACTCAATGTGTTCATTTTTAACACCCATAAAAATATACTTTTTCTTTCTTCTAGTGCCGTGTCGAATAGGTATTTTTATCACAGTGTAAACACCAATTGGGGTAATCAAGTTTGTGATTTACATTTTTATTTAAATCCCCCACAACTGTAAACAACCAACTTACAACAGGCTGTTACAAATCTGAGCTGTAAATAATTATAAATCATAGTGATCAGAGTCAACAACAAAATGCAAAATGATAGAAGAATATTTCCCATTAAAAATTATTAATTTTTAATAGTTAATATTCTAATTATTAATACAAATTTTTCTTATTAAAAATACATTTGTTAATTTTTTGAAATAGAATTTTAAAAGTATCCACTTTTTTTTAAACTTTAGATGTGTTAAACCCCTGATAAAAGTTTAAAAACAAACAAACTTTTACCTTTTCTCATTCTCCATTTCAAGAGGCACATCTTTGGAAGCATTTCTTAAGTAATCTGGCACTTTTTTAATGTTTGTTGCACGATCAGTGTGTTCTTTTTTAATTGGCTTTTTTTTCTGTCCTGGTTTATTTCCTTCTTTTTTTTCTACCACTTTATTTGGAGCCAAAGTAGGGTAGTGACCAATTTCTTTCTCATACTGGAAAGCAGTTCGCACTTCTCCTTTTTCTTCACAGTATTCCACAAAAGATTTCAAAAATCCATGATGTGACACCGTTTTGCTGTCACATATAACTGCCAAATGCCTCTTTGCTCGAGTGATAGCAACATTAATACGCCTGTCTTCCGACAAAAAACCAACTTCCCCAATGTTGTTGGATCTCACTAGAGACAGAACAATAGCTTCTTTTTCCCTGCCTTGAAAACCATCGACCGATCTTATTTCCAGCTCCGGAAACTTGGAAGACAGCCTGGATTTAATAAGATCCACTTGCAAGTTGTAGGGTGTAATAACCGCAATATCTGATGGATGCATACCACTCTTAATGAGACTCTCTACGTGATGACGTACCAAGTCTGCCTCCCCTTCATTACCTTTGGACTCATCATCTTCACTTTGGAGTTCACACAAATCACATCCTGCGGTATCAATGAGCAGCAAAGGTATCGAAGTATTTTCATTATCTTCAACACCAGGTAGGCCATTTAAAAGATGAGAGGAAACAGACTCATCAGCTACAAGTTTATTTTCATACAGATGTTCAGAAGGCCACTGCATTATAGCATTATTCATCCGATATTGAACAGTCAGCATTTTCTTGATGCTATCACCATATAACTTCAGAAGTCTTTCCATAAGAGTAATAGCTAGTCCTTCTTTTGCAGCTTTGTCGGACACTATTGTGGGTGGCAACTGGTTATGATCGCCAGCTAAAATGCATCTTTTGACTGACAGAAGAGGAATCCAGCAGGCTGCTTCAGTTGCTTGGGAACACTCATCAATCACACAGATGTCAAAATGATCTTTTTCAGCATATTTAAGTGATCCATCTTCAGATGCCGATGTAAGGGTGCTGAGTACAACATCGGCATTCTTTAAGATCTGTTTCACAATAAATTTTTCCCTCTCTTTTACTTCTTTCAGCAAACTACGGTTTTCAGCCCACATGGTTTTCCTAGTTCTAGAGCCTTTGGTTTTGCTTATTTTTTCCTATAAAAAAAAGTTATCCATCAGCAAATATAATATTTAGCTAGTAATAATTTCACTTATTTTTCTGCATTTTTTGTTTAAATATTTCCTCTTTTTGATCCACTGAAAAGTTTCACATAAATAAAGAATATGAGTATAACAGTTATTGTTAAGGGAGACTGTTTTATGACACTGACAGCTACTTTAACTCCTTCAATAAACAAACATAAAAAATATGATAGATGATTTAGCATACAAATATAATGCATTATATTTTTACTATTTGTGCTACTACAAAATACAGTTATTAATATCCATCAATTACAAGTATGACAAGTTCAAATACAAGCTTTTAATTTTAAGTCATTTTTAATCAACCTCTTATATATGTTTCATGTTCATAATAAAATTGGTTAATATTTATTTTCAATTTGATTTAAGAATTTATCATTTTGCATGGTTTAAATACTAAACTTATTTGAAACTGAAAAGTTAATAAAAAAACTTTTTCATGAGACCAAATACTTCTGAAGACATCTACCATTTCATTACATTAAAATTTGCTTTAAGTGTTATGTAATATAGCAGTTAAATTAAAAAATTCACTAATTTATAGTATAATTTTTATTTTATTTTGCAGAAAAAAATAAAAATTTACCCCTCTACTAAATGTGTCTTAACAGTTATTAGAAACTTCCCTTGTTTTAATACTTTACTTCATATTCACTATTAAAAAAAAAACTTATCTGTTTTGCTCATTCTGGCCCTATTGTGCCAAAACAATATACTACTTCCATTGCAAAATGTCTATGATAATAGTTCTTTAATAAAAACAACTAGATTCCTGTAAGTGTATGTTAAATGGCAAAAGAGGTAGATCTAGCAGAATATGAATATAAATGTAAGAGGATATTAAAATGCTCTTTGATGACTTGATTATTTACCATAATTTAGTACTAAATTGTTTAAAATTGATTACTAAACACTGATCTAGATTATGTAAACAAAGTTTACAAAATAAGCATAATATAATTTAGTCATCAAAAAAAAAGAAAAAATTTTGATTAACTTTTGATTTTTTTTTATTAACTTTTGTATTTTAGAATTACAAATTAAAGAGCAATTTTAAAAGTTTGCAGAGTTCATCAGGATGTACTTAACATAAACTAATGATAATTTAAATGAAAAAAAAAAGACAAAAGCATGATTCATTCCTCAAACTATTAAGATTGTAAGAACATTACATTCTGTTTAAGGGGATTCTGATTGACAGAAATAAGCAATGATTAATGCTTTATTTGAAGCTGAAAATAAATCCAAATTTATTTAGTTAGTCAATTATTTGAGGTGTCTTTTCTTTTTAAATTATTTCAGGTGTTTATTTTCTCACAGATTGCACACATACACAAAACTAAGTACTGTCAATACTTACTCTTAGTTGATCAATTTCCTTGTGCAATTCTTCAACTACATTGCTGCCATCATATCGAGAAACAATAGCATCCAAAGAGTATTGTTGAATAGTAGGTGAAAATCGAGCAGGATGTCCTAATCGAACCATTTTCACTTTATATGGAGCCAGTTTTTCAACTAAATTATCAACTGCAACATTTGAAGGAGCACATGCAAGTACCTAAGAATAAAATATTCAAAAAATATATATAGTTTTGTAAACTATTTTTTTTTTAAATACAGTAGTTATAGGTACTATTAGCATTTCTTTAATTAAAAAAAAAGAATTAAACTATACTGTCAATTTTTTAAGCTACGGAAAAGCACATATAAATTTTTCTTACAATACATAAAATATACTGTTCATATCAACAATATTGGATAGTGATAAAAGATGGATCCTTTTTTTTCAGGCATGAGATTGATACTGTTTTTATTTTTTGTTACATTCTTAAAACTAATTTTAATTTAAGGCAAACCAAACACAGAAATAGTAAGCATCAAATGATTAAAAAAATTTATAAACGTGGGTACAAAAATTTTAATAAGTAATTTAAGTAAATATAAGTACTTTTAAGTAAGTGTAGGTAAAAATATTGTAAAATTCAAATATTACATTCAATGTAAAAAAAATACTTCACATAATTTAGTTTAATGTATTTAATAGAACAAATCGCAACATAAATAGATTTTATTATATTTTAGATTCTTAAAATTTAAAATTATGGAAATTTTCAATTCACTGTGACAACTATGTAACTTTAAAACTTAAAATAATAACAATCCATTATTAATATAAATAATAGGTCATATGTTGCAATGATTAAATTTTTTTACACACTTTTAAAGTATGTACTTTTTAATGTTAAAAGAATTTACTTTTAATTTCAATAATTTTTTATTTAACTAATATTATTTAAAATGCTTTCAAATAATCTTTTTTAGGTGATAATAACTTTAAAAAATAACTATTTTAGGTAGGAAGAGTCTCTTTAATCTGAGGTTTTAATTTTTAAACTGCTCATAAAATATTATGAAATAAATTATTTGAAACATACAGTTAGGACAAAAGATATTTCAGACAGACAATATTTTTTTTTCTTTTTTTACCCCTGGAACTGAGATAATATCCATTGGTGCTTATAAACTTTATCTTACATGTGCAAAATAAATTATAATTGTATTGGAAAATTACAGTGTAATTTTGTAATATCTTGTAGTGTTTTTGTTTTAAAGCACTAAAAATGAAACACATCTGAATATAATTTCAGTATTTTATTTGAAAAACTAAGAATTTGAATCGAATTGAATATGCTAACTAAAATTTTTGGTGGTAGTAATAAGGGCAACTTTTAAATTGCTCAACAAATGTTTATTTCATTTAATAGAAATAAATAAATAAAGTTCGTATTTTTAGTTGAAAGATTATTTTGTGGTGTGTGGAATTTAGAAATAAAATCTTAATCACTCATGATTTATTAAATGATTTACCCTTCTGTTAATAGTTTTATTTAAATGCATTGATTGTGAATCTTTATTAAACATCTTTATTAAATCTTTATTATAACAGGTTTTTCAAATTATAAATTGTCTGACTGAAACAAAAAAATCATGATCTCATTTCAAAATTTTCTGAATATTGCATCATTCAAACAAACAAACAAAAAATTAAATAGGACTTTCAATTGATATTTAATGAACAAAAATAAGCTAATGAATATTTGCCATTTTATAAGTGTTTTCAAGTATGCAAGATTAATATCATTGGATAAGAATAAATTAATAAATACTTCCTAGGTTTTGGAATTGTAATTCAGCTCAATTATATTTTAATCAAACAATAATTAAAAAAAGACTGCAAAAAAGTGATGATAGAGATTCAATAAATAAGATTAGTACAAAACATTTGACAAACAGAAATAAATGAGAGAATCAACTATCAGTTGCTCATTATTATGTAATTTTTAAATGTTGTAATCTAGTTAAATGTAAGACCTAAATATTTCAAAATCGCAAATATCCGGTAGGTTAGATTTCTATGGATTCTGAATAGAAATATATAAGTGAATGCAAAACTCCTTATTAAAATATTTATTGATGACTGGTAGTTAATTGGTTTTGTTATTTATATATTATATTCATTGCAAATACCACAGTGAAAAAAATAAACTCCTTAAAAGTTAAGAGCAAATTTTTTTTTAAAAATAGCACAAATTTAAAGACACATCAGATTATGGCATGCATTTACAACACTTTCAGAAAACAGTTGAATAAGAGTGCCCTTTGCAAATAAAATAAAAATCAACAATGTGTGTTAAACTCAAATGTGAGTATATATATTGCTAAAAAGAACTATTTAGAGTTTAAAACTACGAAATTGTTAAACTATTAAACTTTGTAAAAAAAAAATGCTAGTTTGGTGATATTTTTCCAAATAAGATAAAAGTAAATAAAATCAATGAGTAATTCTTAATTTTTGCATATTTCTTTAAGTCCAAATAATGGCAGTATTCATTCACTAAAAAGTGTTATTTCATACAGGGACAGAACTTTCAATAAAGACTTTAGGCAAGAATTGCAAAAGCAATTTTCAAACAAAATTGTGACAAGTTTACTCAAAACATCAAGTACTACACTGATACTAATCCTATTTACATTCAGAGATATAAATATAATTTGATATTTTTATTAATTTATTTATTAAAAATATAATTTTCAAAAATTACTTTTAGTTTTTGAGATGTAGCTTGTAATATACACTCTAAGACTGTAGTAGTTTTACCAGTACCTGGTGGACCATGCAAGATTGCTAGCTCTTTTTGAGTGAGAGCAAATTGAACAGCTTCTTTCTGGGCATGATTCAATTTGTTATTAAAATATGTCAAACCTAAAATATAAAAAAAAAAATTTTAAATTTCCCCAAATCTGAACACGTGATTTGTTAAAATAAAATTATGTTTATAAAAAATGCTACAATTTTAAAAACATTTTCAAATGTATACATTTAATGAAAACTACAATGAAAAAGAATAAAATTACCTACTTTCAGGTCATTTTTATTATATAAAGAAAATTTGGCTTTATTTTTAAAAAAATTCAAAAATAAATCAGACAAGTATTACAAACTGTTATTCACTTTGTCATACCAAATATCTGATACTATTGATGACAAATACTTGGCACTGTTTGCAAACTATAAAGAACTAGGACCACAATTTTCCAAAAGGTCTTGAATAAAGTTTATTATAGCTGTTTTTGGAAATTCGGTGCACATTTCTCTTAAATAATTTCATAATAAAAAAATGATCTAGTGAAATACATACACAATAATCCTCACTTACCTTTTTTTCTTACGTATTTAAAATTTCCTTCACAACCAACATTTTCTTTTTTTGGTAAATCCATTAAATGATTTAAAATGTATTTTAGCAGGTATAATTTTCTTCAAAAACAGATATTCTTCTTAATTCACTGAATACCTTAAATATACTTATAGAAAAAAAAATTACTAAGCTCCCAAAAAACTAAAATTTTCTGTACTATTGGGATTTTTCAGAAATCTCAATCGCAAAAATTATTTGTGAGCATTTTTCATTCTTCCTGTGGCAGAACATCAATCATAATATTCAGAATCTAGATTCAGTAAATGAAATACATTATACATAAAAAAAAAATTTCAAAGCTAGAAAGTAACAATATAAACTAGTATTGTTAAATGAATACTTAGTTGAATGTAGACATTATTATTAAATGTTAGAAATTTTACAACAATTTCACTTAATGCTTATTAAGTGTTTCATAGCATATGTCATCAAAACATTAAGAGTATCTTTCAAAACAGAAAATAAGTTTTAAAAAAAAAATCAATTACTTATTAATATTTAAAATGATAGAGATCAGATGTAAAAAATATAGTAAAAAAAATCAGTTGATAAAACATGTACTGTTATGAGCAGTATAAATGTGTTTTTACTAAGCACAAAAAATATATCTGCTACTACGCTAATTATGAAAGATTAAGATTTAAATTTTTACAAATGGTAAAGCAGCAATATTTAAACTTGGTCCAAAAATGTAGATATGAACCTTTTTGTGATTAGCAGAGACAAACAGACAGTTAAAATGAACGGCAATTTACATGGGCGAAGTTTGAAATTTTTGAATTGTAAAAACATAAAATGACTGCAGATAAAAAAAAAACTACGTCTTATCTAAAAAAACGTGACTTTAATTCATTGTTAAAATAAAAATTTCAGAAGAGCAATTGAAAGTTTAACCTCTTAATTGTAATTCCACTTTTTGGGTATCATCAGCACAAATAAATTAGTATATTTAAGGTCAGATTCTTAAATCATTAAATACATGAAAATCAGATCATGGAATTAAACATCATTCATGCCGTTTACTTTTTCATTTTGAGCAGGGAGAGTAAAGCACATTAACGTTTTAAAAATTTATTAAATTAGTATGCTGATTTATCAGTAATAGCTATAAAAATGCAGTTGCTTTTGTGTCTTCAAGCTTGTATCTTTGCTGCATTCTTGGTTTTGGCAAAGTGATACCAATATGTATCCGTAATTTGCAACAGATCTTAAAATACGACAATTGAAAGCCATGCCTCTGAGCTTCTGATCTTCTTAAGAAAGCCCTTTTTCAAACTACACAACATGAGTCATTATTTTAGTATCTAATGCTACTTTTAAGACAAATTTTTATAATTGTCGCATGTAATAAATTTAAAAAAAGCCTTAATATTTTAAAGCACTGGATCTGTGCTGTGAATTCTGGATCCGGATAAAAAGGACATGAAATCTGGATAAAGCCGTGATTTCATAGTTAGAACCTGATGATTACATGCAATTAAGAATCTTTCACAATTTGGGTATCTTGAAAAATGATAGCATAACTTTAATCATTTCCCCTGTTCAAATCAACTAACAAAAGTTTAAAATTTGTGACAGCACAGTTCACAAAATTATATCATCAATTGACAAAAACAGCAGCTAAAAATTTATTTTTCCAAAGATAACCAAGACTAGAGAAAAATAAATAGCATGACAGTAACAAAATATACTTACTACTATCAGAAGATTTTTCAAGGGAAGAAGGCTGCGAGATGCCAAACAAAACGTTTGCTAAATGAGATTCTGAACCTTTCTCCTGTAAAAGTTTCAGAGACCTAATAGGATGAATCATACATTTTTATAAAACCTTGAAACAAACATTTAATGATTTTTTTTTCTTTAATTTAAAATTGGTAACTAATGAATCACAAAGTATTACATTGATAATTTGGCTAACAGGATAAATCATTCCAAAACTTGAAATAAACATTTCCTGAATAATTTTTCTTAATTTAAAATTGGTAAATAAGGAATCACAAAGCACTATTTTTAAAAAATTTAAATTTGTCATAGAAACAGTTTCACTATTTAATGGTCCACCTGAATCCTGCAGGAGGAAATAAATTACATTTTAAAAAACATAAGGGAAAAGATTTAAAAACTGGCAGTTAAGTACATTTCTTATTTTTTTAAAAAATGGAAACCATTTATTTAGCTTTAAAAAAAACTTACCTTTTCAACCTCTTATAAGTCACATCATTAGCTAACTTAATAATTAGATACTGGATATCATTTTCTATGTCTGAAAAATTAGAATTCTTTTCAAATGCAACAGAAATGGATGTTTCTGCAACTTTTATAACAATGCCAGAAGTTATTACTTCAATTTTTCCATCGCTGTTGAAGCTTCCAACACCAACTATGTCACCTATTGGAAATTTGTTAAAAAGTTAAAGTTACAAGGCATGATTTTTAATTTAATAATGAAACAATTTATACATATTATAGTAATTACAAAAAAAATAGAGAGAATTTTTTTTTATAAACAAATTCTATAGGAATCAGTTCTTCAAAGCTCAGATTTTGACCACCAAAATTGTTTTGATCTTCTGATACTAGTTTGCAGTATTGCTTTATTTTCAGAAATGTTAACATCACACAGTTTTATTTAAAGGACACCCCACCCAAATTTTGCTAAGAGTAAAAAATTTCTTACCAAAAGACCTAAATTAATATATTAGGTATATATTACCATAATTATTTAAGAATCTCTGGCATAAAGAAATAGATTAGAGAATTCTTAGAGGTCCAAGAAGTGAATAAGTAAGTGTCCAATAAATGATTATTAAATTTGTTATACAATCAGTAAATGAAAATATCCAACTGACACTTTTTTTTGTTACTCTTATCTCTATAAAAGCATCATTTTTAAATTTAATAATTTTTTTTTTACATTTAAGTTCCTAGAAATGACAACAATATGCATAAAAATCTAATCTTGGTAAACAAGATTTAGCATTCCTTTTATCATAACTGAAAAAAAATAAATACAGTTTGCATAACAAAATAATAAATTTTTGCTTGTCATTTCTTAATTTCCTTTTCCTTGTTAAGTAAACAACTATAGCATTTGAAGTTTTAATAAAATGAAGTAACATTTTGGTGTAAAAACAATTCTTAATATCATACCAAAGCAATGCCTTTTCTTAAGATTTATTTATATATATATATACTGGGCCTGCACTAAGGGTCATGATGTCTAATAAATTGGGTTTTCAATTATACCATGAAGGTGGTAGTGTTCGGATATGACAAAAATAGCATGAAAGCATGAACCCCAACTACATTGCAATAACACTTCAAACTGGTGGAAGCAATGTTTATGGTTTAAGGGATCTTTTCTTGCAGGGGTCTTTTGATTCCTGTGGAACAGCGTCTGAATGCCCAAGGGCATTTAAGTGTTATCACAGATCAAGTATATTCTGTTATGACAATGGTGTGCCTGCTGGGGATGGATACTTTCAGCAAGCAATGCTTCTTGTCATACAGCTCGTATTATCGCCAGGTGGTTCATATAACATAACGGAGGCTTTACCTTGCTTTGTTGGCCCACACAATCACCAGATATCAATCCAATTGTTAATTTATGGGTGAGATCAAACGGGGAATCAGATTGCCGGATCCAGTACCAACCAATCGGGGGGAAACTGAAAAGAGCAGTTCGTCGTATATGGGGTCAAGTTTCTCCAACCAACATCTCAATGAATCTATGCCAAGAAGAATTCGAGCAATATTACGGAGAACCTAAGGTGGATCTACAGTGTATAAGTGTATTATTTTCCATGCTGACCTTTGTTACATTCATCTTCTTTTTGTTTCAGCATTTCTGTAACCCTTATTTTAAAAAATGAACTTATGTGTGCTATGATTTGTCTCCTTATGGTGAACTACTATGAATAAACATAAATCTCACTTTTGCATCCTATTTGGTACCAAAATAACTGTTTTTGTATTTAGAAGCATATTTTAATCAAATAGGGATTTTTATGCTCACATGGGACTCCAAACCAGTTATAGAAAATTGTGCTCAAATTTTAAAAAAAAGAACCATATACTGTTGAGGAGACTTTTACAAAATCAACTTTTTATTTTTTGCATTTTCTAAGGGCTCACAATATGTAATAATAATGATTTAAAAGAATTCAAACATTAGGAGCAATTATAGTAACAAAATGTAACAAAGAAAGGAGTTAAAAGGACAGTGAGTGCTTTCTACTTTAGTTTAATAATTTATTTAATCAATAGACTTAACTGCAAATCTTCTAATCAATAGACTATTGTGAACAGTATAAACACCATTTTAATAATTATGAAATTCGCTAATTATTACCTGATGATAAACAGTGAGAAAGAAAAGGACTATTACGAAAGAATGATTCGAAATGTAATAAGGTTCTTCCAAAAAGGCCAGTCGATGAATAACCCAGACGAAGTTTTGGTATACATACGCCCTTCTTTTGAAGACTTTTTATTGATCTACTCTCTTGAAGACACCTTAAAAAACCGAGAGAAAAATTTACAGTAAATAATATAATTAAAAATATTACATCTTAGCTAGATTTATAAATAGTAATTACTTATTTTCTTCGATTTCCGTATCTCTCTCTATTTCAAGAAGCTGTAATTGCTTAATGACAAAAGATTCGATATCCGACGTTATTAAAATTTCTCCAATTTCAGTCATTTTTATAAATGGTTAAGAAAATAAAACTAAACTATAATAATAATAGAATTTGCGCTTATTTTCTTTAAGCATTTAATTCACTCTGTTAAAACATATTAACACAAATGTTGCTGTAAGAACTAATCCATTTGCTTTATAATATGATAAAAATTTTGCTTTTAGCTTTACGTTACCGTAAGAATTTTTAAAGAAGGCGACAAGCTATGTAGTTTTTAATTGAATTTTTTTTTTTAATTTTTCAGTACTGAAATCTGCTTTTTAATGAGCCGATAAATCTCTATTAATTTATTAGCAAAGTTTTAATTCATTTAGAAGTTTTTCTGCTTAAATAAAAAAAATTATTTAAATAAATATGACTTTGATCGCTAGAGGGCAGGACAGATGTAGAGGTTTCTGCAAAGAAAAAGAATATTCGTGAACATTCACGAGATATCAGTAAGTTGACCTCGAAAAATATAAAGAGCAACTGAAATCATTTCATCATATTTGGCAAACAGACGTGTGATTTTGTACTTAGTGTTTGACGTGTTTAAAAACTTAGCGATTTCTCCGGATTGTTTTGCTTGACCCTCTACAAAAAAAAGTAAGTAAACTTATGTCTTTTACACTCTGTTACGTTATATTAATCTTCATGCTACAAATATAGCTTTAAATGGCGGTGAAAAGGGTGTTAGCTTTTAAAGAGTTTCAAAGTATAACAATCTGTTCTTCTGATTAAGATGAAAGAATTTATATGTGTAAAAATCTGATTTTTCATAATTTTTATGAGAATTCCTGATGAATATTAACAAGTATATGACATGATTTTCTTAGTCTAGTTAGTAGTGTGAAGTTTCCAAACATGGATTCATTAAAATCGTAGGTGATGTTTTATACTAGAAATTAAAATTCAACAGCTGTCAACTCTTAATTGAGCGTCGCATTTTTTCATTATTGTTGATTGCATTTTTTGCTATTTTTAGAATTAAAAATATTTCTTTTGGAATTGTGGTTTATCATTATCTTGTGCTTAACTCATAAATTGATGAAATATAGTATGCACTTAAATTAGATTATTTTTCAGTTTTAAAAAGCTATGTAAAAGAGCACATATAGTAATTTTTTAAACATTGAGATTTATATGAATACTGTTTTAACATTTAACTATACTTAATTTATTTTGCTTAGGCGTTAATTTTCTGAAGATCTCAGTACATGACTAGCTCGTTTACTCAAATTCACTAAAATATCACTTAAATCATTCATCCACTTAAGTATTTTATTATTTCAAAATTTTCTTATGTTTTTTTCTTTATATTTTCAGGATGGGTAAAGACTACTATAAAATTCTTGGTATAAGCAAAGGAGCATCTGAAGATGAAATTAAGAAATCTTACAGAAAGTTAGCTTTGAAATACCATCCAGACAAAAACAAAACTCCAGATGCTGAAAGTAAATTTAAAGAAATAGCCGAAGCCTATGAAGTTCTCAGTGATAAAAAGAAAAGAGACGTTTATGACCAATTTGGTGAAGAGGGACTCAAAAGTGGTGCTGGAGGAGGTGGTGGCGGTGGAAACCAAGGCTTTACTTATACATTCCATGGTGATCCAAGAGCAACGTTTGCTCAATTCTTCGGCACAGACAACCCATTTGAATCATTTTTCATGGGACTCGGTGGTGGACACCCTTCATCTAATATGTTTTATGACAACGACGATATGGAAATTGATGGAGATCCATTTGGTCACTTTGTTAGAGGGGGAGTTGGCGGTGGTGGTAACCCCTTTCGATCCCAAAGCTTCACGGCTGGTTCTCCGAACATAAACCGAGCTAGCAAACCAAAGACTCAGGATCCACCTTTAGAACATGATTTGTATGTGACTTTAGAAGATATTTCTAAAGGCTGTGTAAAGAAAATGAAAATCAGTCGCAAGGTCCTTAATCCGGATGGTCGAACGACTAAGAGGGAAGAAAAAGTCTTATCTATTAATGTGAAGCCTGGTTGGAAAGCGGGAACCAAAATAACTTTCCAGAAAGAAGGTGACCAAACTCCTAACAGTATACCTGCAGATATATCTTTTATTATTAGAGATAAGCCTCATCCTACATTTAAAAGAGAAGGAAGTGATATCAGATATACAGCTAAAGTATCCCTTAAAGAGGTAAGTTTAACATTTTGTATGCTTATTTAGTTTTTATGGGTAAGCTTATCTTTACTGTTAATGACTTGACCTTTTTTTCTATATTAATAATCATTTTCTTGTGTGTTGATAAATTAGTAATGAAAAAACAGTTTCAATATTTATAGAAAACTGTATAATTTTATCTTTTGCTTATGGCTGATGCGACAGGTGGACCAAGCTGGCAAGCTACACCCTGCTGAGTGCCATAAGCAAAGGGTAAATAATAGTATAGTAACCATACATTGAACCCCCGTAGTAGAATCGCGGCGACATTGTCGCAGAACATTACAAAGTTCATGCAGAAAGTTTGTTTACAAAATGCGAAGAAGGAAATAGTTTGTGCCTATCCCCCACAAAAAAAATTGAGAATATCACCCATAATATAGAATTAAAAATTATTACATGTTCAGTTTAAAAAAAATCAGTTTTTTTTTAAACACAGCTCTTTTGTTATTTTAAATGAGTAGCATATGCATATATGTAGCACATATGTTTGTTATTATTAAAAGTATCTTGCTGAAAGATTATTATTAGAGAGGTATCTTGCAGAAAACCCGAAGAAATTCTGCCTCAAGGCATTAAACCTATACTGTTACTAATGCATTCTAATACTTGTGAGTGGTATTTTCATTGCAGAAATGACTTCAAGAAATTGAAATGAAACTTAATAAATTATAATCTGTTTTTTGTCGCTAATTTTTTATAATTAAGTGATTTCTGTGAAAAGCTGACTTAACTTTTGAAATCAGTAAATAAAGATATCAATCTTACTATAATTCGTAGAATATTTGCATAATTTATTTCTAGTAACTTCAATGATATATCTGAATTTTTTGATTTCGTCGTATAATCTGCTAATAATAAACCTTTCAATTAAATATATTTTGTTTTGTGTTTATTTGGATACTTTAAGTTCTTTAAAACATATGAAATAATGTGGTTAGTTTTTAAATCTTGACTAATTAACTCTTGCTTAAATACAAATTCAGCTTCATAAATAACATTTTTTTATTCGGTTATTAGCTTGTAATAATTTTTGTACCATTTTAGTTAGAAATATCAACTATTCTGACTATATAATTGTTTTAAAATTAAGTACTGTCACATTTTATCAGATGATTTAACTGGTAAAAGTCTGAACATTTGAAGAAATAGTTTGCAATTGGGTCATAGCTCAAATAATTTCATTTTTTTATTGCTATATTTTTACAATTATCATGTGGTTAAAAATTGCTATTGTATTAAAGCCTGTATTTGTAGCAATTTCTTTTTATTTTTTACTGTGAGAAATATTAAATATGTCTTAAAAAGATATATTAAGAAATTATTTGGAATTTAGTTTCATTTAAGAGAAATAAAAATTTTGTTTTAATTTTTTATTTCATGTGTTAAATTATTAAATTTGTAAATTTTTTTATCATTTTTTACAGGCTCTTTGTGGTACCAAAGTTGAAATACCCACACTTACTGGAGAGAAGAAATCCTTAAAGATAACTGATGTTATTAAGCCAAATTTTGTTCATAGGGTCAAAGGGCATGGATTACCTTTGCCCAAAGACCCAACCAAAAAAGGAGACTTAGTTGTAGGTTTTGAAATCAAATTCCCAGACTATTTATCAAGCACTGCAAAAGCTACATTACAAGAAGTTCTTCCAAACTAATACTTAACTGTGTTTATGTGACCATTATTATAAACAATTAAAAGTTATGTATGTCTGCAGGTTTGTAAGAGTTAATGAACTGCTGCTCTATTGAAAAGGTTGCTAGAAGGGACTTCTTTAATTTTGTACATAATTTAACTGTACATATTTGTGTATTATTTATTTTTTAAAAGTCAATTATAATGATTGTTTGATATTTTTTTTCTGTAATTTATATTTGTATATATTTTGTACATAGCTGGGAACAATTTATCAGAATAGATAACTTTCTGTTCCTATTTTTTGTTGGTTATGTTACTGTCATACAAATCAAGATATCAGTGTTTGTAAGTTTACTGTGTATGAAGAATATTCTGTATATTGCTAGTTCTTGCTCCCAGCAGATTGTTTTAGTAAATAAATTTGTTAACTGATACTTAGTCTATCTAAATGAAAAGAAATATACATTTTCTATGTGCTCATAAAAATTATATCTTAGTTTGCAAATACATCTTAGGAGAAAGTAAAATGAAGTGGTTTTCTGCTATTAATTATTAAATCCCTAAAGGGGATTGTATCTCTTAATTTTCAAACTCAATTTTTCCTACTTTCAAAAGCAACCTGCTTGAGTCTAATTATGATTGAATTTGACAAATATTTTCTAAGAGATTTTTATCTGTATTGTTTGATCTATAACTAGTTGATGAAATTAAATATTAGCATTATAAATTACCAGGTCTTTAGTAAAACTTTTAATTGAATTCAAGACTAATTTTCTTGGATGATCCATTTATCCAATATGTTTACTCAGATTTTGCATGCAGTCTTAGATTTCTTAGTTTTGTGCCCTGTGGCAAAAAATTTTTCGGGCTTTTTGTGACATACCTCTGTAGTACTTATCTTTCTCCTTGATACTTTTAATAATAACAAATATATATGTTCTAAATTACTAAGTTAAAGTAACAAAAACGTCATGTAATTTATTATTCTGATTTGGGACAATTTTTTCGCATTTTGTAGGGTGGAAACACACTAATTTCCTTTTCGCATTTTGTATATCATCACATTTTAAAAAAATAAATAATAAAAATTCTTGAAATTCTTTGCAGTAACTACCGGAAAAAAATAATGTGTAATAACTTTAATCAGACTTTTCAAAAAGGGGCTACTAAATGCATGTTTTCATTTCAGGATTCAGTTGTCTTAATAAAAATATAGGATTTTAAAAACTGTGGAAATCAATAGTAATAACTGCAAAATGGAATGAAAATTTCTGCAGAAAGACAGCCAAAATTGTTTACTTCCCAAAGGAAAAATCTTTCTATAAGACCTCTGTAATGTTCTGTGACAATGTTGTGTCACCACTGTTCTGCCACCGGGTAATCACAATAATCTATTCTGGAAAACATCTCTCTGGTTGCAGCCAGTGATACTTGACTTAGTTGATCAACTAGTAACTGTGACTTTTGAGCAGTCCACTGTGAGACTGATTACTTTCAAAGCTGATGCTTAATAACTGAAAGATTAGCTGCCAATAAAATTATTTTATCTTATAAATTTTATTTATCTTTTCCTTGTATGATTATTTTATAATAGAAGCCCTATTTAAAAATTTAGAGTAAAAAAATATTTTCTAAAAATAACATGCTTAGTCTTCTGAATCTTGATTCTTATATGACTACTTGGTCATAAAAAGAGCTATAATTTAGAAGAAAAAAAAGGTTGTTAAAGTTAAGGTAAAATTATTATTAAAAAGTTATAAATTTTTTTGTAACTAGAAAAGTAGAGGGGGGGAGCTGTTTCATGTGCTAACTAACCAATTTTAAGTTTAATGGGATTATGATGAATAATTGAATTATTATAATTACAAATCCAGAATAAATTATTATAATTACAAAAAGAAACTGAAATTTTGAATAAATCAGTTGGGTTTTTACCTGTTTTTTTTCCATCCTGTAAAAAAATTATATAAATGTGTCACATTTTAAAGAAACTTCCACTTGTTGGACTCAATCAATGAATTCCCCTAAGGAAAAAACCAAGAACCATCAGATAAGGCCTACTTGAAAAGAAAAAAAAGTTCCTATTACATCTTTTAAGATTTACATTACACCCTATTAAATTATTAAGATTTAATCAATTACTTAGAGCTGCCTTATAACATCATAACCTCTTAACATAAAGAATCAGGAGAAACGTGGGGAGGGGGGGGGTTAATGAATTGCTAAACTTCGCACCTTCTCAAAAGAGTTAAAATGAAAACACACAGTAGCGTAAAACCAGTGTTACCCCTAAGCTTTTTTTTTATAAGCGCCGACCCATCTTGCCCTTTGATCCCAATAAATGCACCCTTTTTGTACAAATAAGCCATCATCCTTTAAATACACTGCCTTTTTATTCATATTCTATTTTGAAAAAAAAATTTTAATTTACTATTTAAATAATTTTTATTACATATTGCAATTATTATATAATATTACACATTTTAATAAATTTTTAGGGTGTTAAGGGAGAGCTTTTTCAAAATTCGAAGTGCCCTTTTCAGATATAAAGTGCCCTGGCCTTTTTTATTCCCAGGTACACTCTGGTAAAACGAGATAATAGTTAAATTTTTTTTTTAAAAAAAAAAGACCTAACTTCTTCCATTTTCAAATGAACAATGAAATATTTTTTTTTTTTGACTAAGGTCATGGATTAAAGGATCAAGAGTCCTTCAAGTATGGGAGGTTTTTTTTTTAAATATAAATCATATGCTCATTTTATGAGAAAACTGTACCTATCTAAAAAAACGCAATATCTAATGGATAAGAATTACAATTCCAGAATACTGATAAGAAAATGTTTTGACAATCCACATCGATAAAAATTATCAGATTAAATGATGCTTGTATATTCAATTTTCAACACTGCCAATTTAAGAAGGGGAAAAAATAAAGCATTGAACAAAATAAAACAAGTTCCATGTTTATTGACATGGAATATCGTATAAAAATAAATAAATAAAAAGCCTGAAATATTTGAAAAACATAAACAACTTTCTGGAAAAACACAGTTGCAACAATTAATTATTATTTTTTACTGAAAAACATTTTTTTGATTTAAAAACAGGACAAGTTTAAAAGGGTACTTTAGGTTAAGGAATCCTGTTAGTTAAATAATTGGGATCAAGCAAAAACTAAATGTTCTTTTTTTCATACATCCAAATCAGGTAGATCAAATTTATAAAGGTGTCATTTCCTTTTCGTATTAAGACTCAAGAGAATGCTACTTATTTATATGATTAGCCCAGAAAAAAAATTATATTCTCCCCAGATCTATGAACTAAATATGGTTTTGATGCCTAATATACTAATGCATTTTCTAAGCACATCATTTATCACTTCGAATCTATGAATAGAAAAAAAGAAAAAAGTTCCTAATTTTACCATGTAATATAAAGCAATTCGGGAAGGGGGAAAAAAAGAACAGATCATCAGAAATCAATGTAGGCGTTATTATCAAATAATATTTATGCGATTTATTATTTTCTATAACTCCGGAAATCTTTTGCTCCCACTGTATTAGGTATCAAAAAGAAAATTCGAATTTATCCGATATTGATCCGTGTCTTTATTACCTTTTACAAGATTTATAAAAATACAAAATTTTAATTTTTTTTTTCATTAGGTAGAGGTATCTTCGAGTAAAGGGGGCGTAGTATGTACCAACACTATAATTTTTTGGTAAGTTATGTATTTTAGACGAAAATGTTAGTTTTGTTTCTTGGCGCGAATGAAACGAAACACCTTGAACTCCGCCAGATTCTGTGTCAAGCAAAAAGGAGGATAAGAAATGGTTGGGAAGGCGAAATGTGTGTCGGCGCACTCTTAATTATAAATCCATCTCTATATTTAGATACCCCCTAAAACGTCGCTCACTCCCTCAAAATAGCAGTAGTTGCACCCATATTTCCACTGATGACCAAAATGTGACACAATTCTCTTTTAGACATCATGCCTGTGTAAACAACTGCTCCCAAGAGACTTAACTCTGCACCGGAAAAACGAAAATATTACGCTCAACGTTTGAATTTTTACAGGTCTAGAAAATTCTATTAGTTTATTTAAAATAGAGCTTCTAGAACAGCAGTGCCCGAATGGTGTTTCGCGGAACCCTAAGGTTCCGTGAAATATATAAAAAGGGTTCCGAAACTATTTTTAAATAGTAATTTTAACCTTTTTGAAATCAATAATTACATTTAGATCCAACTAATGCTCCTACATTTACTTATTATTTCGATTGCCTTAACAAAATTATTAAAAATGAAATGCCAGTGAGAAAGAAATGACGAATTTTTTAAAAAATAATATACTTTAATATGAAAAGGATACGTAGTTATGTAAAAATTGCAAAAGTATTTCCCATGGTACTTTTCAAATCAAAGTAACCTTAATATAGAAATATGTTTCCCTCATAACCATTTTTAAAGTTTATAGCAGTTATTTTTGTTTTTCATTTCATAGTCATACATATTTTTAGCTAGATTTAGCTCTAAGACTGTAAATTCAGCTATCGACCATAAAATGGAATTTAAGATAATTAATGATAAACGATGAAAAAATTCCATTCCTCTTTTTAAATATAACAAGTCAATATAGTGTTTTATCGTTAAATATATTCAGAATTGTCTTCATATGCTTTATTTCTAAAGTAGGGTTCCGCCGGAGTTAGGTTGATTATTTAGGGGTTCCGTAGTCGAAAACAAAATTGGGAACCGCTGTTTCAGAATATTTTCCCTAAGCATTTAAGAGTGTCTCATTCGCAATTGCATAATATTTTGCTATCAGCCACAAAGGTTTAAATTTAAAAAATGATGATTGGTTCAGGCAATAACTTTAATTGAATTAAATTTTTATTATAATTATCATTGAAAAGAATCTTTTCTAATTCGTTAAGCCACATCGTTATGTAAATTATACTCATTAAAAATTAATTTGAAAATTAACTAGTTTCGTTTAAAAATTTCCGTAAATACATTCCTTTTTACAATATATTATAGTTCTGTAAATCGTAAAAATTTAAAAATAGAATTACTAATATTTTGTACTTCAGAGCTAATATATTGTGGATTTTTTTAATGACTATAAAAAAATATTAGGTTTCAATTATAGAAATATCTGAAGCATTTTTATGCTATCAAAATCTTACAAATCACATAAGATATTTCTTGTATTAAAATATATCCATATCTAGTAGCGAAATTTGTGCTATAATTTAAATGTTATTTTCAGTATCATAGATTTATTTATTTTATGAGCTAAATTTTGTAAATCTAGTTATTTATAAGAAGTCGAAAAAAGAAAAACACTGACTTTTACAAGCGAACGTTTCACTTTCTGTCACAAAAAAAGTATTAACTCTTTTGAATTGAAAATTAAATAGGCGTAATTTATTACA